TCCTTCACATATCTTTTAGACAGGCTAAATTAGATTTATTGTTGTATGTAGCCATTAACTCGAGCCTTTTGTTTAGGAAGATGAAATGGCAACCTAATAGACATTTATTAGGATACGTTTAAGCATTAAATGTTCTCCTGTGCTAAATTTGTCCAATCACTTATTATAGAAGATGAAGAGAAAATAGTTTTTTGCTTACAATGGCTTGTTTAAAAGTTACAAGGACAAATAATGAGTTTTTAGCAATTACGCATAACACTTGAGTTCTTGATCCAATTTGAAAATGTTCATGTTGAACTTCTTTACGATCAAACGTCTCAATTAAATGTTTTTCTTTTAATCTAAATATATTATTATTATTAGTTTCTTCAGCAGCCCTAATGGTTGCTTGTAAGGAATTAACAGTTATTTCTCAACGTAACATCACCACGACTTTTATTCATTACCGGGACATGTCCACATAATTAATAAAATGTTACAAAGAACTTCCACCACTTAGGTATGTTATTAATATAACTGAAATTATAATATTATAGAGGCTGTGCTATTTCTATGATAGAAAAACCAATAAGTTGTATTGTTAGCAGAAACATCCCTATTTAACAGACTGACTAGTATTACTATTTCATCATGTCCCATCACGCCTTCTTGAAATTATTAGCAACTACTATTTCATCCACTTTTTTCCACCAGTTATACTTGCTGGCAGACGCAGCATCGTATGTACATTACTTGGAGTATTCTAATGTCCAAATAATTTATCTAAAAGGAGGGTCCGAAAGCAATTTTGTGTGGTTGTGTTCAGAATGAAACCACGGCGTCAAAAATTTGCACTGCATTTCGCCATGTCAGCCAGGGTCTTCTTTGGCGTTGCGTATCTTACTAGCAAGCGATCTTGATATTGTTAAAAATAATATTTTTGCCAAATGCCGTTTCTGCTTTGCTTCTTTTTTCTCTTTTCATATAATTTTATTTCTATTACCGCAGTGTCGTAATCATCTTTTATGCCGCGGAGTTGTAAGGATGCGACGTTAGCAGTAATTTCAGTAATTAGCCATTTTATGGCGCACGTATTTTGATAATTCCCGAGTTTTAGTTACTCTTATAACGTTCCAGATGCCTTAGCAAAGTGGTAGGACCACCCATAATTTTAGCAGCAAGAGGCTATAGTGTAAAGAAGATGATAGTATAGATTATCACAGATGGAATAAAAAAAAAGTGTTTACTTTTCTAAGGCCGTTACGTCTATTTTTATATTGGTTCGGAATTGCAGTTTGAGCGCATATTACCAAAGAGACAAAAGAATTAACAGTCACATCCAACTGTTGGCATAATTACTTCGTCTGGTCAGAGAACCCCTTTTTTACCGACTTCATTGAATTTAGCGTATCTATTTGTTAGTATTCTTCTGTCCTATGTGGGGTGAGATGAAGTGCCAAAGTTTTACTGGCAAACACTTCGTTCCTTAAAAAGAAAATATCTACTTATTCTAAGAGAGTCTGCTTATTCAAAAAAATTAAAAAAATCTTGAGTCTAACTAGTAGACTAAACTGGATATATACCTATTAGACCTTTTTTGTGATAGTACTGTAACTAAATTGGAATTACAAACAGAAATATATGACAGTGTGTTTTCTTAAGAAGACATTTACCAATCCTAAAGAATACCAGGCTTAAACTTTTTTACATTATATGCAATATATATGTAAAAAAGTACATCTTGCTTTTATCACGTTAAATGAACATGGCCATAAGCCAGTAAAACAATCATACAAAAAAGTCTTTACTATAATTGTTTGTTGCAAGTTTTGCCTCCAATGTTGTGAGCCATTACACTCGGCCATTTTGTTTACTTTTATTATCCACCAGTAATTAATTACTGCTCTTAAAGAAATAGTAACTTTGCCGTTGATGTATTGGTTGGCTTCGTAATATATTTTTAGTCGTAAACATCGAGCTCTAATTTCCGAAGCCGTTTTATTGTTAATTTATTAGGCCAAAATACTAACGTACCTTTAGATAAACGTATCGTGTAACGTATGTGTTTTAGAAATCGTATACCTACTTGGTATGATTCAAAAATACAACCTACAGCCTTATTTTGCTTCAGCTGGAGTTACGGGCTAAGCGCAATGAGTCACCGCGGCCTCGGAGAACGAACAGGGGGGGTTTTTAGTCAATAAGAATCTGACACTGTTTCTCGCCTTAACCTGGGCGGGAGAAGTCATTTGATGATCTTCCACTGACAAAAAAAGGCCTTTTTTTGCTTTTGCACATCTAGCTGTGTTTCTAAAATTTCTGATAACTATATGTATCCGAATCCTAAAGTAGCTGTGTCACATTTATATTTTTATCATTTCATTTCTGGTTTTTCATCCTATGTATCTTCGTATTCTCTGCAGAACTTTCCCTCCAAGTATATCTTACAACAGATATTTTTTGATTATTATAAGTCACATCCACTTCTTTATTTCACTTTCCTTTTTTAGTTAGACTATATTTTCATTGAACAACATAGAATTTTACATACACTTCATCACAAATCACAATACTATAAATTACACACACAATCCCAAACTCAACCCGTGACATGAATCAAAACTTTCGTAACAAGACCCATTCACTCAAACGTTACATAATTTACAAGAAGTTAACTCATTTGTGGAAAACAATAAGGAGATATCATACAGTTCCTAGTTTCAGACAATGTGTGGAAGCTATTCAATGTTCTGATACCGTGTAATAGATGGTGGTCAGTGGTGTTGGTTACGAATTCTATTGTCAGTTCTATATTGTGTCATGGCTTCCTTATGTCGATTTACAGATTGGTGATTTTGTTGTTTATGAGAGTAAAGAGTAGTCTTGGTTGCTCGTACCTATGTTAAGGCACACGCATCTCATGCATGAAGGTGCGAGTTCAAAAACCATTAAAAAAGTACCAATGTGACGTTTTCCGAGGTACATGTACTTTCTTTGATTATTTAGACACCACTGACAAGCGATGAAGGGAAACATCGTGAAGAAGCCTGGACTTATAATAATAGTATCTAATAATAAATTTTAAATCCGCCTTGAACAAGCTCGGTGAATAATGCTCAAACCTTCTCCGTGTGAGAAGAGGTCCTTGCTCAGCTATGAGCACTTATGGGCTTCTGCTGATGATGACACTTGTGACCATGGGTTACTCCAAAGAATTTAATACACATTTTATGGTTAGCGGTAGACGTCAAATTTGAATCTTTTTCTACTCTGTCCCTCAATATCATGTAAACCTTTCGATTTTAATCCGGATTTCTCTCCGGTCATGTCATATTGGCGTCCCAACGGATAATGAAACGGTTTAAAGTAGGTCAACTGTGGCAGTGGAATGAGTTTTGTTAATTAAATTTCGATAAGTCTAATCATTGCTTCTATGTGTGTGCTTGAATCCATTCCTGTTAAGTGCTGTCTATCATTTGCATTAACTATGTTCTTACACTTTTAAGAAGTTTTTTATACATTGCAACACGACATTAATTTGAATATTTCTGTATTTATGTTTGCAGGATATTACAATGAGTATTTAATGTAAACATTGTATTTATAGTTGTGGTAGACTGACAAATTAGCTGACGGATTATTTGATTAGTAAGCGCAATGTCAGAGAAGTTATGAGTGCGTTGCTGGCCTTTTGGAGATTAGGGGTTTGAAGGTAGGAAGAGATTTTGGGATGGAGGAAGGGGAAGGATCAGACCTCACTCATATTGCAAAATACAACGCTGTAGATGTTTAAGACTGGTTTTTTATCAAGTCCCTGGTTATTACTCCGGTGCTGCCGACCCATAGCTTTGCCATACTAAATTGGTTAAAACCTATGTTAAAATCGTACACCAATAAAAAAAGTAAACAAAGACCAAAAACGAAAGCTGGAACCCAAATAAAACACTTATCACTGGCACCATTAACAAAATATACAGGGCACACGGATACAGATAAATTTTCCAACGTATTACATGACAAAATATGCTTTCAAGGTAACAATAGCTTGCTACCGTTGTCCCAACATTTTACCTTCATAATGACACACACATAAACGGACAGACAGAAGTTTCAAAGTGTTTACATCACACTCCATTGTTGATAAAAACAAAAGAGAAACAGAAAATATGATTCAAGTTATTAAGGTCTCTTTTTTGGAACGTTCACGGTCTAGTTTTTAGGTTAATTTCTTGTATGTTTTGTAAATAAGCTAGTTGCTAATACAGATGTAGAAAAGTTTATTAATTTATCTGGGGTATATGGGGAAATTTACTCAACAAGTGAACTGAATTTTCTTATCACTTTCGAGTCATATAGAAGAAAGGGAATCGTCGGTCGACAGACCCTTTTCTTATTAAGAATTTTCATTTTGAAAATCTGTTCTTTTACAAGCGTTTCTTTTTGTATCGGATTGGAAAATCCTCATAGGGACCCACTGCCTCGAGGAAGGCCGAAGGATATTGACAGACTCAAAACAAACCAACTGAAACTCCATTTACCCATCGGAGGGGCAGGTATAGGCGGGTATATATCGCCAGATTTCTGTAACCAGCCTGCTCTAATCCTAAATAACTATATATATGTATTATTTCAAATACTTGGACCGTATAAGACTAACATGATATAAGCATAAAATTACAAAAATGTTACAAAAATATTCCATTGCCAACCATTTCTCTAAATTACGAAATTCAGTTTGATGACAGAGATTGTTCGTATGATGTACAAATAAATGGAAAAACACAATAAAAAGAGAATTACTATAATTCTGTGAGCAAAATTAATTTTATTTCTTGTGTCCTTTGTTATGTTAACGAAGCACTTTATTTGGTTTCGTTGTTGTCCTTGGATTTGGAAATGTCCATATTGTTATTTCAAGATGAATGGATTGTCACAACTGTCCGCATTGTTGTTATAAGTCTATTGTTGCTTATATTATTATATCTTGCAAATATTACGTTATCTTTTTTGGGACTTGAACCATGAGCAAACATATTTTGCTTTGGGTCTTGCTAGAAATTTGTAGAGGTTTGATGATTAGGGAAGGGGAAGAAAGAGTCTGGGCCTCCTGTAATCTCACTCACACGACGAAGCATAACATAGATACTCCAGATCCCCTGGAGTTTGCACACTTGTATATCCCAAACAACGACTATCGGGGAAAAATCCTCCTCATCACGCCCCAGCAGCCGCAACTGGCGACACTACGGACGTCGGGGATCGAGGGACGATCTCCGGCCACCGTAAGCACGGGCCTGCGGTCGGCGAGTAAGGGCAGCTCGCCGCCCGACCAGAACCAGGCCCGAGCGTACGGCGCGTAGCGTTCCGCGCGCGCCTCAAAGAGCCATTCGACCACCACAGACGGGGCCCTAAACACCTGGAGGACACGGTGGAGCATACGGTGGCGGAGTGCCCTGCTTGGGCTGAGCACCGCCGTGTTCTCAGGGAAGTGATCGGCGGCGGCGACCTCTCGCGCCCGGCCTTAATCGAGGCCATGGTGCAGCGTGAGAGGAACTGGGAAGCTATCTCCTCCTTCTGCGAAGCAGTTATGCTCGCAAAGGAGGAGGCGGAGCGCGTGAGGGAACTATCCTCCTCGCGCCCCAGCCGCCGCAGAAGGCGACATTCCGGACGTCGGGGATCGAGAGATGATCTCCGGCCACCGTAAGCGCGGGTCTGCGGACGGCGAGTAAGGGTAGCTCGCCGCCCGACCAGAACCGGACCCGAGCGTACGGCGCGTAGCGTTCCGCGCCTCAAAGAGCCAATAGACCACCACAGTCGGGGCCCTAAAGGGCTGATGTTTAGCCGGGGCTGCGGGGTAAGCGCAATGAGGCACCGCGACCTCGGCCCAGAGCAGGAGAAGGAACGGGGGGGTTTTTAGTCAGTAAGAGTCTGACACTCTCTCTCGCCTTACCCTGGGCGGGAGAAGTCATTGGATGATTTTCCCCTGACAAAAAAAAAAAAAAAAAAAAGACGGGGCCCTAAAGGGCTGATGTTCAGCCGGGGTTGCGGGGTAAGCGCAATGTGGTACCGCGACCTCGACACAGAGCAGGAGAAGGAACAGGGGGGTTTTTAGTCAGTAAGAGTCTGACACTCCCTCCTGCCCGGCCCTGCGCCCTCACAAAAAAAAAAAAAAAATCGGGGAAAAAATGTCTTGTGGAACTGCCGCGCGTGCTAAGTCCCCAATTCCTCGCATTCTCGGTCTCGCTTAGCAATCTCCGGAACATAATCCAACTATTGATCTGTTTACTGATGGATTGGAATGCATGAGGTACTAATGAATTTTGTTAGTTTTTATTGTTTTTTGTTGTAATATAATTAAGATCAAATCAGTTATAATTTAAATAAATAAATAACAAAAGCGTCTCACGCCGGTATCCTATGAGGTCGTGGTATCCTGTCAACACGGCCCATACGTGACGCATTTTTTATTAAAATAATTTATAAAATCAGGCATTAGTTTGCGGAAATCCATGACATTAAATGCTATCAAAAATAATCCTACCCCATGCAATCATGCATATTTTTCTTTTTCTGCATATGCCTGATTGCATGGGGTGAGATTGCACCCTGCAACAAGCCTGGATTTTTGTCGCGGAATTAAAACTAAATAGTTTTCATAACATTTAATGCATTTTTATTGTTTTCCAATTTCGTTTTTTTTATTATCATGCCTGGCTTTAAGTTTTAACATGTTTTACTACATAAGAACTAAAATGTGATCCCCGTTTCACTCCAAGCACTATGAGAAAGTTAAATCTCTATTCAAAGAAAAGCTTAACTCTAAACATTAAACCTTCTACCTAAGTACACCAGTTTTCTTCTAATTAAATCTGCAAACAGCGAGCAATTTAACATAGAGGTCTAATTAAAAACTGGTGCTAATTAGAGTAATTGATGCTCTCGAATGATTGCTTAGATTAAAGTAGGTATCTTAGATTTGTGCATGCATTACCTAGTTGGTATAATGTTGAGATAATAAAATGCTAAACATTTTCTTTTTATGGAAAAAAGAAAATGGGTAATGTGTCGTGTTTAAAGAAACTGATTTTATCGGCTGATTTCTAAACGATTAAATGGTTCATTCATTGAACCAGAAGTATTAAATGAAATAAAACGATAATATTTTTTGTATTTACTTCAAAATTTTTATTTTCAAATTGTGTATTATATTTTTTTTATCTTCGACTCGAATGTATTATTTGCTAAACTGCCTGCCTGTTCCTTGTCTACCGTAGCTAACATTACAAGGCTGCTCGTGAGAGGCTTTTAAAACCAATTTTCTTTAAAAAACACGATGCCTCGCACATTAGCAATTTTTCTTGTGTCTTGACTGCGTTAAAAATATATAAGTTCACATACACATCGCATCCAGACAAGGAGCAACATTATTTTATTATTAAAGTTCGTACCTATGTTTTTATATTTTAGAAATTGTGTTAATGAACAAAACCACGCTAGAAATTTAGTAACATAATGAAAAAGGGACACAACAGGTACCTTTTTAACGGCCGAATATATAATTAAAACATTTCCTCGGAGAGTGTTTTACTTAATAATTCACAAAACAAATTCGGACGCAACACCTGTAATAAAAGCGAAAACCTTTTCTACCAACCTTTTAAGCTTAGGATACAATCGAAACTAATCAACCGAACCTTTCATTAACCATTTGTTCCTTCAAATTAAAAGGAAAAGTAAATCCCACTTTTCCATATTCAAGGCAACCAAAAAACGTGGTCCTTTGAGACTACCTCCAACCTTCACCTTACATTATTCAAAACCCATTCATACTACTACCTCATGACTATTCAACAACAAACGTTCCCAAGACAATCGACTTTTCCGAATCATTCCGTATTCATTGCCGTCAACCTACTATGATGTAACATTGACATTGATTTATTCGCGTCAATGGATGCGCAAGTTCTGGCGATACAAGTCACGTAATCGTTTGAAAGGGAAAGTTCGAGTCCAAAGGGAATCAACGGTTATTCCTCTCGTGTTCATTCATAAATCAAGCGCGACAAGGGACGAGACTTGCCTTAATTGACAGCCTACATTTCGAACTGATTTCACCCTTTAAATTAGAGCGGTAAAGTCCATTTTTGTAATTGGATTCTGTTAAACGTCAGACTGGTTTGGAAAGGTTGATGCTTATTGAAGCTGTCAGTGAGATGAGGCATTTAATATTTCAAAGTATTTTTGGCCGTTTCAGAGATAAACCAGATATTTTGTTATTCTCTGTGAAGTTTGTTACAAGTTATAATGTACCTACGGTGAGGCCATTTTCCTGGTGTTTTCCTCAAGATGAAGTTTTTGATAAAAGCCTTTAGACCTTTTTCGTGACCTTCCGATTTATCTTTTGTGGGATATTTGAGAGGATACTTCTGAATAATATTTTGTATTTGAAGGAAAATATTGAATCATTTTTCCAGTCTTTAGTAACATGCTACTTTTATATATTTCTTTTCTGTTCTCTTTTGTATGTTGATACAAATATTAATAACGATTAAAACCTCAGAAGAGTGTCTTTAGGATACGATGAAATAATTAGTTTTATTGTTGGTTGATTTCATGTGCTAAAACAAAATTACATACAATCTGTAAAAAAAAAAAAACTTTTGTGTTCATTATCCTAATTCATGAAAAATAAAAGCAAATTACGATCTTTTTGTAGAAACAATAAAAATGAAAGTTAGCTTTTACATAAATAATAATAATAATTTTGGAAAACAACAACCACTTCATTACTAGACATAGATATGAAAATCAACAGAAGGAAGCGAACCAACACAAAGGTTTAGATGACGTTGTAAACAAAATAAACACATCCTTCGACAGCGATTGTCAAAGTATTTCTAAATCTATGTGGGTACTTTAAGATAAGGAGCCTCTAATTCTTTTTTTATAAGTACTTACCTTTTAATATACGTAGCAGATAGCTTTATACAAAATATGTTCTATATTCAAATTTATCTAATAAGTAGTGGTAGTCAGCACATCTTAAAAACAAACAAATAACTGAGTTTTCAATGATAAATAATGATATTCCAGTGAGGAGTCAGTGAGGAGGAAAAATAAAGAAATCGAATCTAAATAACACTTTAGCACTTAAGTGTTATTGATTAAATGTATTCATTCAAATTGTTTATTTAAATGTTAAGGTACAAGGATCTCAAATTAGAATAATAAGCACAGCTTAACTTGACTTTAATTATGAATTAGTTGAATACCAAGAACATTATTAATCAGGATAACATATTTTAAAATGAATTAAAATTTACTTAAATTTGTAACTTTAAGATTAATTTAAAAAAACAGGATAAAATAAAATAAAAAAAAAAACATTTTTAAAATATTTTAATATTTTCAAATTTTATGAGCTTACTTTGAGAACCTTTGTCTGAGACGCAATCTTGACAGTGTAGACGTTGAATGAGCTTCCGCGGGGAATACACAGCGGCGGTGGAGGGATGTAGCAACTCCCATCCTTCAGGGAAAGGTTCGTAAGAAACGGAATCGAGGCAATTGTACAACGGAATTATATGGAAATTGCGACAATTGTGCTTCTAATAGAGAAAAGGATTGTTGTGTTTATAGATCTTAACGAGTCTTTTCATCTTTAGAAATGTAAACAAAGCTATAGTTGTTACAAATTGACTTGTGTCTACGATTTGCTGACATTATGTTTTTGCTTGGTAGTCTGAGAAAATCTGGATAAGTCATTGTATACGAATCTACTTATAAATTATTTTCACCAGGGTTACTCCAAGAAACTTTATTCAAGACTAAGTATAAAAAAGTCAAAAGTCATACTAATTTATTCCAACTGTACCATAAACAAGCATTTTTGAAACGTGAAAATTTAACATAACCTTTCAGACAGTTCTTCAGTGAAACTAGGTACTAGTACAATGTAGATTCGGATGAAAAAGAATGAGCAAAACTAAAGTATGCAAAATAACACTGTTTCAAAAAAGACGAGTGCTTACTAGGAATCCGTATATTACAAAGGATCCCAAGCTGACCTAATGAAAGGAATCGGTGGTTTTTAAATGGTTAATCTTAAGAAATCACATTTGAAAAAATATTTATCTGTCAATAGCAAAATGTTGTCGATTTTAATAACAGTTAGCATCAGATCTTAATTCAGATCGGACCTAACTGGATCTGTATAAACGGCTACTAACTATAAAGCAGAACGCAACATAAATAAATTGGACATGGCTGCCGGCATAGTTTCCCTTGCCTTAATTAGCGATGAGATA